TACAATTGCACACACAATGTTTAATGCATTGCTATTTTAATTATTTTGTTTGAGTCATTCATCAATTTGGGTTTTGTATTCACTTTGGTGTGGGATAGTAGTATTGGTGAATTGGATTTTAGTTTAATTAATTGAAAATNTAATGCATTGCTATTTTAATTATTTTGTTTGAGTCATTCATCAATTTGGGTTTTGTGAACATTCACTTTGGTGTGGGATAGTAGTATTGGTGAATTGGATTTTAATTTAATTAATTGAAATTTTTTTGCATCAATTCACATGATGGGGTGTTCGGGTTATTCAATAAGGGGTTCACACATGTAATTGCACTATTAGCTTGAGAATTGGTAATGTTGTAGATTAGATTTAAAAATTGATGATTGTTCAAGTGATAATTTTGATAAACCTATTCATCCCCTTCTAGGTTGTGTCTATCAATTCCTTGTGTATAATTGTGAGGGAAGATCCACTAGCATCTCTCCCCACTAGGATTAAAGGAGAGGGAGTTATCTATAACACCAAGTTTAACATAAACTTAGAGAGAGTATCATGGTTTTCCATTCTAAGATGCACAATGGTCATGGTGAGGATTTGGAATTTATAGATTTCCTTAGTTTTAGTTCTATCTTATGGGGCTTGTAGAAAGTCCATGTTTTTGTAGAAGTTTCACATGACAAGATTCACAAAAACTCTTTAGGTGAGACAACATCAAATACAATGTTTTTTATCTTTAGTCCAACTTTGTTTTGGCTTATGAGTTGTCTACTTTGCACATTAGTTGGAGGTGTGCACCTTCTCTACAGTCGTTTACGTATGATCATCTAGTCTTCCAATAGGCATATATTTTCCCATCAAACAATGGAGATCTGGAGACATAACCTCTTTTCCTAAAAAAACCGGTTACAAAAGATAGTAACGTGCTACTCAAGTAGTTAAACCTCCACTAGAGTTAACTAGTTCTACTACTGATTGTGAAAACCATGTGAACTATCTAAGCTATTCCATATATAAATTGGGGGGGGGGATAAATTGGTCTTGTGTTTGATTTTTTTAGATATATTTGTGTCAATAACTTTCTAATTTTGACTATTATTGTATTTGACTACGATTATGAATCAATAGACAAACACATAATCACAAATGACACAAGAACTGTGATATTTTTGGGAACAACAGTCCCAAGATCTGTTGACAGTGCATATAATTGATTAGAGAAATTTTACTCGTCTATTAACCATATAAGATGGAATTAGGGTTTACCTTTAACGAGCAAAACAACACAAATGAGAATGATGTAGATCGAACAACGGCTCAACGAACCTATGATCTTCTATTGTATGTCATTCCACACTAAAATTCGAATGCATTGTAGGCTACAATCCTATGAATTTTCCCCCTTACTCTCTCTCTCTACCTCTTATAAATGTGAAAATAAAGGTTATGACTGAGAGAACCAACGAGTGTGTGTATTTAGAGGCTTCTAATGGACCTAGGAATCCTATGTCCATCTCAAAACAAACATTCTATGATCCATTAATAATAAGTTAGTCAACTAAAAACTTAATATTGATCTTCTGGAACTTATCTTAAAATTATATTTCGAGCTACTCATTATTATTATATGCTTAATAATCTCATCAAGGTTAAGATTACAGATGTCTATCAATTAATTAAGTTATTGGCAATTATATTTAATTGCCTTCTTTTATCCTTGAGATCTTACTACTTAACTTATTTGTCATGTCGGATAATTAAATCCATCTACAATATTTGATATAGACAAAACTTATGAGCTTTCTCAAGAAGACATCATCAACACATTTAAATATTGGGACGTTGTTTCTTTTAATAATTAATTATCTCCATGCAAATAATGTCATCTCCCAATTCACTGAGTTTGTTGACTTAAATATGAATCACACTCTTTGATGAATTAAAATAACAATCATTATATGCACATGTCAATTAAATATTTCAAGATTAAGAGTTTAAGAAATCATAATAACCATGAAGTATTTATTTTCTTCTTTAGTCAGTAAAAAGATAATAATCTCAATAATGATTTTGTTTAACACATAAAGTGTACTAGTGCAACAATTGGAGATATCAGACAATCTCCTATAGCCAAGAAGACTATGCAAAAAGATTGCACTACAATCCTATAGATAGTGTGTCAAATTCCATCTAAGACTGTGAACCTTTACTCATATCATATAAAGATCCAATAATCTGATTTTTTATGTATAAGTTGAACTCTACACACCAGATTATCAACAATATAAAATAAAAGACATATGCATACCATATATTTAATATAATGTAAATATTTTACCCACGCAGGTTCTCATTGAAATAGGAAATGAAAATTTTTTATTAAATCATAAATTGAATTTCACTATAAAAGTAAGCTTTTAGTATATTACTCTATCAAATTACTTTCCAATTTTGACTATTATTGTATTCGATTATAATTGTAGATTAATAGACAAATACATAATCACAAGAGACACAAGAACTATGATATTATTCCTCAAGTCGTTTAGCCACACAAAAGTTCAAATTTATGAAAGATTCAACTCTACTCACGATCTTGGAACCTTCTAGTCAAGTAGTATCCCTCACATAACTTGTTACTTCCCGGCTACTTGAGTCTAACCTATAAATCTTTCTCTACAAAAACCCACTTGGTCTCTAAATACCATAACTAAACATTGATACTTTATGTACACAAATTAAGATATATCACATGTTTATGCATTGAATAGAAGATGTATGACATGTTGTTGTAGGCCCTTCGTAACCCTACATAGGTTATGTGAGCTCTTTGGGAGGTTCCATACCCAAAGTACCCTTGAATAGTTGATTTAATCAATTCATAAAAAACTTATTATCGTTTCAAATAAGTAGTTTTTTTTTGTCGTATTTCAAAAAGGAAGTTGGATCGGTCCATTTCTTACAAATCAATTCTAAATAACATTGGAACACATTAGCTTGGTCCAAGTTGCAGTTGGGTCGGCCTAACTTCACACATAATATATTTGTGCTCTTATTAAGACCTCATAGGCTAATCCAATATTGACTTAGATCAATCAAACTATTTATCAATTCATCTTAATTGGTTAATTTAATCAATTTAGACACCCATCTTAATTAGTTAAGATGCGTCTAAATCGATTGACGTCTGTTAGCTTTACTTCAACTTGGCTTTAGTTGTCCATACTTGCTCTCTAATGGATAAAATTTTGTATTTGACTAATAGCAGTAGTAATAAAAATATGGACATTTGTACCCTGTACTAATGGATACATGGCATCCCGGGATGTATGGGGTAGTCTGACATGGAAAGAAGGCACACCTCATCGAGCTGCCAAAATTTTTCCCTTGAAGCAAGAGTAACATTGTAAACATCGAGGGTGACTCAATGAGAAAACACTGCCCCCTCACCACGATAAGAAAATATGTATCCTTGCCTACAGAAACAAGGATGGCACCATGAGGAGCCATGGTTACCACTGGCGCGACATACTTTGCCTTCCCAGCCAAGAAGTATGCGCCTTTACCTAGGATCATGCACAAGGAAAAAGGCTTACCCTTGGAAAGACCTTGAGTGATACCTTCATAGTGAGACCCTTAGAGAACTAAAAACCCATTGGATATCCACAGAAGTGAAGTTCACCAGTGGCTTACCAAATGAACTCAACATTTATAACTCGAAGGATAATGAAATACAAATGTTGTTTTCAGGAATAATGATATCGAAATCTTGGGAGGGCAATATTTGGGCTTGTCTTTGAAACCCTTTGTCATTTTTGATTGCTGACTTGTGTTGGAAATCATATATGTAATCTAGCCATAAATGCTTTTAGTTGGAAACCCACGGGGAGGGGGAATAAGTATGCTATATCAAAATTTTCAATCATGTCTCTGAGACTAAATTACATTTTATAAAAAAGATCGCACAATTTTAGTCATTTATGAAAGTTATAACAAAGTTATTTACAAATAATCAATGAATAGTTTTTAGTTCAACTTGGTTGAATTTAATTAGATGATGAAATACCACTCTGAGTATTTTGAAAAATTATTAACACACAACGTAAGTGCTTGGGCTTCTTACGAGAAGCACATTTTGCATTTGTGTTGAACCCAAAAAAAAAAAAAAACCTTTCTAAACGTCCTATAATTGGAAAATCTCTTAAAGATTGAAGGATTTTCCTGATACTTTTTATACAATAAAATAAATAATAACTACAATTTATTGAAAGAGGAAGAGAGTTGGAAAAAAAAATACAAATTACTCATTTTCCAGGGTCATGTCAAACCAATTTGAAGCATAAAACGGAAACACTAAATGAAGACCTTTTTATTTTTAGTATTACTTTTTAAAAAAAATTAATTTATTTTTAATTTTTTTGTGAGAGGAAGACAAAAGAATGATGTGTTAATATTGTCGAAAATGATATTTGAATATTTGTTTTTATTTTTTACCACAAAGAGGGAGAGAGAGTATTTAATTTTAACTTTTTTTTTTGTTTTTTATTTTTTTTACCGGAGAAAGAATGAGAGAGAAATAGAAAGGGGGTGAGAGAAAATATGAGTTGATTTTTGAATATTTTTTTTTTATTTTTTTAATTTCTATGTTTTTAATATTATGAATTAGATTATAGATCCAAATCATTGCAATAACAATTTTGATTGAATTTAGTTTTTTTGGGTATTTTTATAGGGTTCAAAATTTAATGAATTTAATTTTTTTTATGAGTCAATAATGTCCCTAAAATTATAAAGTCTTCTAAAAATTTAGAGTCTAAAACTCACATTTTTTTTTTCCCATACTGCTGGGCCGCCCTGCGCATTTGTATGTTTGGTAAGTCGAAAAAAAGGCACCATGCTCATGTCACGGTGTATGTAGTCAAACAGTAAAAGTGAATTAGAAATTGGTGTATAGGAATATAGAGAAACGGACTGTGAGAGAGAGAGGGGGAGAGAGAGAGAGAGATATGTCGAGCGACAGGATTCCAGTTGAGGTGTGTAAGGGCATCAATGGCCTCGAGAAGATCGTCCTTCGCGAGGTTCGCGGCAGTTCTGCCGAGGTAAACAAATTATTTCTCAATGTCTCTGTGCGTACGACGTCGTTTTTTTGCATTTGATTTCTCTCTCCTTTTTTTTTTTCATGGACTCTGTGTGTGTTATTCTTGAATTCCATGTTCGATCTGTTTGTTTCGAATTTCTTGGTATTTATGGCATTTTCTCTATCTGCTGATGGTCTTGAGTCTTCTTGAGTTTCTTGGTTTATGCTATATTTTCCTCTCGTGGAGGCAGAATCGGTACTAGATTTGGTGGCATTAAGACATTTGTGGTTGACCAGAATTGCAAAAGCTCCGAGTGAATCCTTAATAGAAGTAGAAATTTATTGATCTGAAGCTTTGTTGTTTCCATCAACTAACATTGTGCATTATCAGAGATCCAATCTATTATGATTGTGTTTGAATAAAGAGTGCCTTATTGTCATTAAGATGGCTGTTTATGTGCAATGTGTTGCAGAATCAATAGGAACAACCTTTTTGGCGATTGGTGTAGGTTTTCAAAAACTAGTCCTGATAAATGCCACCCCTTACAAATTAAAAAGAAACAAAATTATGTGAAGTAAGTTAAATAAATATCGAGTTTGTAATAATCTCAGAAACCACTTCTAAAATAGGCTATGTGGTTTTGCACATGTCTAGTCAATACAATATGTAACAAGAGTTCAACAGTTGGTGTGTTGAGGGATGTCATTTTTGGCAGGCAGTCGTGTATAAGCATTAAGGGCTCCTTTAATTGGAAATTAAGAATGCAATACATAGGATATTTTGGCACAAAAAAAAATCAAAATGCTTTAATTGAAAGGGTGAAATGTTATGCAAAAATTGGTGGGTTCCATAGTTTGTTTGGTTTGCCAAGGTGAAAGGCACACTAAGACAACAAGGTGTCCAGAGTCTGGGTGCAAGACACAAGGCAAGGTGCCTGCTGTTTGGGAATACGCAAGTAAAATTATGAGTGTGGGCTAGGAAAACCTAAAGTAGAATGGGCTTGCAAGTCAAAACTTGGTTAGCTAGGCAGCAAAATACACCACCAATCTACAGCCAAAGAAGAAAAGTCATTGAAGAAGAATAAAAGAAACAGGTTCCATGCTCATTATTAATGTGTACAAGTACAACCAAAAAGCCAATTCTACTAATTTTCTTTTGATAGTTTATTCTATTAAAATTAAACAAAACCAATAGGAATGAAATTAAAAATGGAATATTTATTGAGTTTGAATTGAAGAGGATAAGTATCACATGATGACAGAACAATCTACAGTCCAAAGCTTGCGCTGTTTTTGCATGCAGCATCCCTTTTCATAAAGTAATGTNAATATTTATTGAGTTTGAATTGAAGAGGATAAGTATCACATGATGACAGAACAATCGACAGTCCAAAGCTTGCGCTGTTTTTGCATGCAGCATCCCTTTTCATAAAGTAATGTTTTGAGGCAATGCAATTGAACAAATAAGAGGGAGCTTAAGAATTAGAGGAAAGAAATAGAAGAGTTTGGGAAGTATCAGAGGGTTAAGTTCTGAGACCTAACTTGTTACGTAGCTAAATCAATGGGCCTATAATAGACCAAAAAGGCGAACAATTTCAAAATTTAGAAGCCCTGAAAGTGGTAACCTTATGCTGCTCCAGTGCCTCATGTACTTGGCTCACTAGCACCTGTATGGAGTCACCTTGCTTGTACCTTGATCCACCTGATGCTTTTTTTGGTACTAGGTATGCCTTTTAACAATCATGCTTTGTAATAAATGTAGGTGACCTTTGAATAGGGATATTTCTAGTAGAATTTATGAGTCTCCATCGATACATCATTGTTTAGATAAAAGCTCATATATGTCCGAGGGATGTTTTACAACACTTAAAGCAATCATGTTTGTGTTTTTTTTTTTTTTTTTTTGGGGGGGGGGGGGTGTTACATATTAATTGAAATCACAAATGTTTAATACTTTCTACTTCCAAAATCTTTCATGTACTAACCCCTATTGGAAACCTTTTACTATCTTTTTCTTCAAAACTTATTTCATTGATGTTTATAAAATGTGTGTTGAAGTCATATTCAGTACACTGTTAGTCTTGTTTTTCAGGTTTATCTGTATGGGGGTCATGTGACATCTTGGAAGAATGAGCATGGGGAGGAGTTGCTGTTTGTCAGCAGTAAGGTACCATGCTTTTGATTCTTCTTTTAGGGATCTTGAAGTCCTCCCGGATCTTGAATTCTTTTCACACCAAATTCAAATATAATCTTAGTCATATTTTCTTTGCAGTTTGACTGCCCTACGCCCATATATTTAGCATAAAGTTTGGCAGTAGAAAGTGCATCCTGGTAGAAACTTGTTAAGTAAAGTTGCACTGAACATTTCTTGGCTATCAATCTGTTTAAAGTTTGCAAATGTTTAAAGTGCGGTTTAATGGGTTGGGAAGCTGAGAAAATTGTACAACCGCAAGGTACATATCAAATGGTTTTTCTGGCCTTTTTTCATTATTTTGATGTTGCGTAAGGGTAATTTGTCTCATTTTAAGGTTCCTAAATTGATTAAAATCAGGATTTAAGTGATGGCTACGTAGACTTCATTTGTGCACTTAAAGGTTTATGAAGCTTCTTTGAAATCCGGTCTTATTTGTCAGTTGACAATTTTTTGGCTTGATGCTTGAGTATACACCTCCTAGGTTTTCCCTTGAAATCAGCAAGGACCAATGGTATAATTGTTGTATAGGAATGAGCTTGAAGTTCTATTCTTTTTGTTTGGATCGTGAAACAATAAGGTGTTTATAAAGCTGCCTCTAGGATCATTTGTATACAGAAACAATAAGGCATTTGGCATTGGGGCTAAAATTGGCACCAAGATCATACCTACTTGTCTGTCCTATGCTCAATGCTACAAACTTCAAAAAATCACTTTTATAAAATTGCATTGGCATAATTTAATTTAGCATTACTAGGCATTCTTTTTTTGAAACAGGTCTTAAGAGAGTTGACTACACTTTTCCATGACCATAACCTAATGGAGTTTGAACTCTGAGATTTTAATGGCTAAAATTTGGCACAATAGGGGATTTGACATAGATATTGAGGGTGTTAAATCGGTCCAAAGTACTTGCAGGTCCAGAAAGAGAATTCAGTTTTTTAGTTTGGGATGTCTTCTCTGGCAGCAGATATTGGGACAGAATTATTTAAAAGCTGCACTTAACTAGTATATACTTTCTTTTTGTCTGAGAAACAAGAAACCTGATCACTTGGAAAGATCTAATGCTGGTTGAACTGAGCTTTCTGAGAATAATAATGAAATGGTTGTGTGCTCTAGAGATGTAGTGCTGCATTGCTTATGATTTTATATTGGTATCATTTTATGTGCTTTTTAATGAAAGAATGGGCAGTGCAAGAAGTTGATTTTGGGTAAAACTACTGTTGTTATGCTTAGGCTTGAGAAGGTTGGGATCCATGAATTCCATTTAGTACGGGGATCCAAAAACAAGTATAAATAGAGTAATAAAGCTGGGGATTAATTTAGATAGGCTTAGGATTTGGTTAGGAAGATATTTGGTAATGGGAAAGAAGACTTTTTTGGCTGTTCTGGTTCTGCCACATTGCTGCAAACAATCACCAGAGAATTGGAAGCTTGGTACTATGTGGATGTGGGGTAGTGAGGTTTTAATATTTGACAGTGCGACTAATTTTTTACAAGAATCCTTAGAATAGAGAAGAGTGACTGACAATGACTGTCTACAAGTACTCAATTTGTAAATTGCCATTCTGTGAGGTCTATTGCTATTTTTGTGTTTTATGGTATGGGTGCTTTGGTCTTTTTCTTAAGCTATGGAGGGAAATTTGCTTTGTCACCAAGTATTAACATTATTTTAAGCCCGGATTCAAGAGTTCTTTTGACCAAGCATATCTCTGTGATATATGAGGCATCATGTCTTCAATGGAGGCTAAATCCTGGTGACTCTGTGCTTCTCCACCAGGCACCATCACCACTGCGTCCATCTCCTCATACTTTCTGTGTTGTTTATTTTTTGCAGTTCGGCGAAACCTTTTCTATCAATGACCAAACTCTAAACTTCATCAAGCTCAATGAACTCCTTCATTTCTTCCTTCATGACTTGGTCCCAATAACCCAACATTGCTCTAGAGCAAGGATCAAAATGTCGTGTCGACACGTCCGAAACGTTTCGGAATTTCAACACTCCGAAACGAAACAGTAGTTGAATCACAAAATTCCAGTGTTTCGGTTTAAACGACACTGTTTCGGACCGTTTCGGTCGAAACAGTAGTGTTTCGACAAAACAATGATATATTTGGTTCACTATGAATAATTACATTTAATACCCACTATAATTACATTTAATACCCACTATAATTATATTTAAAACCCCATTATAATTACATTTAATTCCCATTGCTCTTCTGTCTTTTATAATTTTTTTGTTATAAGAATAAATAATTACACTTAATACCCTACTATAATTATATTTAATACCCATTATAATTATATTTAATACATACTGTAATTATATTTAATACCTCACTGCTGTGCAAGTTTTTTGCTTTTTTTTTTTTTTATAAGTATTAACAATTACATTTAATACCCTAATGTAATTATATTTAATACCTACTGTAATTACATTTAATACCCACTGCAATTACATTTAATTTTTAAGTATACATAAGTATCATTAATTTAATTTGATACCCTTCATTATTAGTATTATAATAAAATAGTATTATTAATTGGATTATATTACCGTAATAATATGATTTGGAGTAACTATTGTCATCATATTTATGTCACATATGGAGTTTCTCTAAGTAGCTACCCAGAGCCTACACCGATGTATGAGCCTGCTCGACACTCTACAGGGGGATGGATGTAACCATGTAAGTATGTACTCATTAGCATTTCATGTGTATTATAAGACCTTAATATTATGTAAAAATGTGTTTATTTCATAAAAATTAAGTGTTTAAAACTAATTTAAGTGACTTTCGCCTCATGTCAAGTCTTTTTTTCCCTCAAATTTAAATTTATTCTTGTATAAATAGATGTTAACCCAATAAATATGTTGAATTAATCAATTATTTAGCATATCTTTATAAATTAATGGATTGTATTTGTGTTTCTATGCGTTTCCATATTTTTTCTGCGTTTCCATTGCGTTTCCGAAACGTTTTCATTTTTGAGCTGACCGAAACGGTATTTCGAAACGAAATTTCGATCCTTGCTCTAGAGCACTCAATTATGTTTTTGGGTACTGTTTTGTAGAGCCGAAACAGACAGAGAAATATCTATGAAAACATAGCCGTTCAATTTTTTTTTATCAGCCTCTTATTTTTCTGTATCCTTTCACATGCTCCTTTTTTGTCCAAATAATCTTAAAAGCCTATTCCCTCTTCTTAAACTCTTACATTCTTATGAGTTCAAAAAAAGCAAAAACTCAGGCTTAAAACTTTATGATTTTCATCGTCATGGATTCCGAATGTAAAAGATTTTACATCGATTTGTTCAACTTAGGAGCCCACTCTACATTCGCTGCTTTGAAAGGCAGAAAATTTTAGACCACCCACAACCCTGAAAACTAAGAAAACAAACCAAATAATTGTAGCAGTATATTAATTCTGAAAACAGGACCGTGTTTAATCCTAAACTTGACTGGACACAATCTCAAGCATGCCCCATTTGAAACTTGCATTTTTGTCCCCTTCTTGTTAGCATGCTTTTTATCAAGGTCATAAGTTGTTAATTACGCAGGGAACAATAACATACATATAGAATGGTTTTGGTTGAAGTGTTTTATTTTGTTTGTTAACCGTATTCCATCTTAGATTTTTTGCAATGGTGTAGTGATATCTAATGGTTTAGTAAACCTTCTTAGGAGAAATATAGTTGTAAGGCCTTTTAGGCAGTTTGTGATTACCCACTTTCTTTAATCTCTCTCTTACCATTCTGCTTGTCTTCTTAGTTCTACCTCGTCATTTATTACTCATGTTCTTTTTTAGCATTTTTTTTTTCATTTTCTTTCCTGCAATTAAACATATGCTCGCTCTTTAAAATCTAGAATCTCATGATTATCTTTATGCCCTATGTATATTTTCATGTTTTTTTGATGGATTCATGCAAAGGATGGTCATGGTTGAACAAAAATAGCGCTCTAGTTTATTTCAGGTATATCCTCACAAAAATAGAGGAAAGTGACCAACAAAGGCCAGATATTAATTATCTTTTGTGTGTGTGTGTGAAAGAGAGAGAGAGAGAGAGAGAGAGAGAGAGAGAGATCCTCATCTAAGTTGTTCATGCAAATACTCCCCTAGAATTATCTACCATTGTCCCAATTTTGCGTGCAACGGTTACTTGTTAGTGATTTAAATGTATGTTACTTCCATTTTCCATTCATCTTGTGTATTAGTGTAACGGAATTCTAACTTTCACAAGTACTGGCATGTCAATAGCTTAAGTTATCTACCTCATCTTGTGGACTACAACTCAAAAATTATGGCAAGTATTTTCATATGGAACTACTAATACTCAGAATATCTTCATATACCATACAAATAAGTGGTAGACAAGTGATTTTTTTTTTTTCTGAATGCTGGGCTGCATATTTTTTACATGTGACTGAACTTTTTGTGCAGAATATCTAAATCTCTGTTGGGTCATATGATCAACCATGTCCTTGGGACTTTGCTTTTCATATGAGTTTAGATAATAGGGAGTATAAGGAATTGATGTCAGTTCTTGCTATCTGTAATAGCTCCTTGTTGAATCTTTAATCATGTGATAAAAGTAGATGGGTTGTTGAGTGTTCAGGTTTATTCTCTAGTAAATTCTTTTTTTGCTGCTTTGCTGGATGATTCATCTTGTCCTATCTTTAATCCAGCCTTGGTGATTTGGAAGACTAAAGTGGCTATTAAAGTGGATGTTTTTTCATGGAATGTTTCACAGGGAAAGATGAATACCAATGGTAGGCTTTAGAAAAGAAGACCTCATAGTTGTATATCTCCTCAACGATGTGTGATGTGAAAGGGTGACTTTGAGAGTATTGATCACTTATTTCTTCATTGCTCAATTTTGTCTTTGTGATATAACTTGTTTAGCTTGGCTAGGTTGAGTTGGGTATTCCCAAACTATGTTGTTTATTGAAGACTTGAATGGGTATGGAAGGCTTGCTAAGGGAGTAATGATGGGGATCGTGTAGGAATTGGATAGATATTTTAGATTAATCATGAGAGTAATTTACTATTTATCTTTTAAATATTTTCTTTTAACTTTTAAGGGTTTAATTATCATTTTGATTATTTATTTATTTTAAGGTTTGTGATCTCCTTATATATATAGAATTTGTGAACTTCTTATATATATAGGTGATACATATTTGTTGTGAGATTAGACTTTGATTATTGATTATTGATATTGATTCTTGATATTGTTTTTTTCTCAAATTCTCTCTCTATTCTTATCCCCTTCTTCTTCCCTTCTCATCCCTAATTCTTTACTACTACGATCTACATTAATTTGGTATCAGAGCTAGTACGATCTACATCAATTTGATATCAGAGCTAGTATGATTTACATCAATTTGGTATTAGAGCCCAACTTCGATTTGTACAAATAAAAAAAAAATAAAATTTTGTTTAGCGCGCACTGTTCATCGCTGTTCTGGTCTTGTTTCAACAGGAAAAAAAAATCAGTCAAAAAAAAAAAAAAAGAACTGTTCCTATAGTCTTGAAAATTGCAACAACATCCCAACTATTTTAGAAATTATAGAAACATACCAGAAAGTTCTAGAAGTTGCAGAACTACCACTAGAAATTTCAAATATTGCAGAATCTTTCCCCCAAAAGTTTCAGAATTACATAAACATTCCAACAAATCCATAAAATTGTAGAATTATCCCCAAAAAGTTTCAGAATTTTCTCTTGATTATGGTATTCATACTCCAATAAAAATTTGAAACTAATATTTTTATTTATTGAAAAATTAAAAAATTTGTAAAGAGTCTAAATCATTTGTCAATTACATTCTTAAACTTGTTTTAGTGTCATTCCCTTATTCCAAGACTCGAGTATGTATGATGCCTCTAATTCACATATTTACTCTAGTTGAAGAGTCTCTCCTCGAGGTCATCATCATAGCAAGTCTAGGTATGTCTGAAAGGATTCAATACCTATTGTCAAATCAATTAAAGATCCTTCTATATTTTGTGGTACTCTAGAACCCAATCAATTCTTGGATTGGTTAGATNCAAGTCTAGGTATGTCTGAAAGGATTCAATACCTATTGTCAAATCAATTAAAGATCCTTCTATATTTTGTGGTACTCTAGAACCAATCAATTCTTGGATTGGTTAGCTAATTTAGAAGAATATTTTGATTGGCATGACATGTCAGATTCCTATTGTGTCCATTTTGCTAAATTGATGTTGGAGGGTTCCACTAAGCACTATTGACAAACAATAAAAAGAAGCTTAGATCCCTTAGGAGAATCACTTATTACTTGGGTTGAAATAAGATATCAATTGAAAGAAATATTTGCCTACTTCCTATATTTTTCAAGTTTATGACCAATGACTCAATCTTAGACAACATTCTTCTAGTGTCTCTGATTACTTTGCCCAGTTTGATTATCTCATGTATTTGTGTGACATTGTTGAAGAACCTTGGACAATTGATTAGTTTATTCTACGGTTGAGACAAAAAATTAGTAGGGAGGTCAAACAATACACTTTTAATACGTTAGTTGCAGCCTATTAATATGCTTAAATGGTTGAGAGATTTCATAAGAAATCCAACTATAGCTTGATGGTTCTTAATCACAGCCAGCTGATAGAACATCTTCCAATTTTAATTCCACCACATATGAGTATCATGATTATTTGAACGATATTCATGTTGTTTCTGCATGCTTTCCTAATTCGAATGTGGCAAAGAATTTAGATATTTTAGTATCGGATAAAGAGAAAAATGTTATTCATATTGACTTTCAACTCTCTTATTCAATTTCATCAGATCAGAGTCCTCCTCCTTTGCACCCACAAGAGTTCATATTGAAAGAAAGTGTGTGTGAGTCTTTGCTTGTGTCAATTCTTGAACCATCATTGGTCTTGAAAATTGTGAAAAAGTCTGTTGAGTCTACACTTATGTAAGATATTAAGCCAATCGAGTCATTTATTGCAGAATATAGTAGTGACTATTATGTATCTATTTGTCCAAGTCATCATGACTTTGTTATGGATTCTTTCTAACGTGAGATTGTTGACATTGTTCTGGATTTTGTCCCACTTGAGAGTGTTAACTTTGATTCTTTACCTACTGTCAAGTGTTTAATTGAGTCTGTACTTTCTTATTTTCAACATCAGGGTGTTATAGTTACTCCTTTGTCATTGATGTCTTATTCTATTGAATGCCTTTTGTTCAAATCTAATGGAAATTGTTTTGCTATTCTTGAGTTTGGATCTAATTCTTATTTGCTTAATTTTTCATTGAATGTTAGTATTAGTCCAGATTTTTATTTGGAGGACATGCTACTTAATCGGGGTACTCCAGAGTCTCCTATTTTGTTATCAGGTGTTTCTACAGGTGGAATTGTTTCTTCCTCAACATTAGCTCCAGTTCTTATTTTTTCACTTCCATCGCATATTTCGGGACAAATAGATGATATGCTACGTGACCAAATTTACATTGCTATAGATGGAGATTCTTGCATTTATTCTGATCGCTGGAAAGATATTGATGGTTTTTTCATTCTAGATGAAACGTTCTGTCATCTTCATTCTGCTCTCGTAGGTTACTATTTAGAAGCCTCTCCGGAGTAGAGTTTTTCTCAACCGGAGGATAATGATGGGGATCGTGTAGGAGTTGGATAGATATTTTAGATTAATCATGAGAATAATTTAGTATTTATCTTTTAACTTTTAAGGGTTTAGTTGTTATTTTGATTATTTATTTATTTTAGGGTTTGTGATCTCCTTATATATATAGGATTTGTGAATTCCTTATATATATAGGGGATACATATTTATTGTGTGATTAGACTTTGATTATTAATTATTGATATTGAATAATGATATTGCTTCTTCCTCAAATTCTCTCTCTATTCTTATCCCCTTTTTCTTCTCATCCCTAATTCTTCATTATTACGATCTACATCAATTTGGTATCAAAGCTAGTACAATCTACATCAGGTAACACTTTAGAAGGACTATTCTTGCTGCTTTTTGGGTTATGTGGAAGGAAAGAAATGTAAGAATTTTTGAAGATCGAAGTGAAATATTAGATGGGCCTATGAGATTGTATTCATTTCATCGCTTCATTTTGGGCTCAGTTTCTAAAGATGTTATGGGTGTGTGTTTGTGAAAGTGAATGATTGCTAGGTTTGAGTATTTGCGAAAGGAATGATTTGCTATCAAGTTAGGTATATGTTTTGAAATGGTTAGTTTGCATCTCTAACCCCACGGGGTAAAAATAGTGCTATTGCACTAGTGTCACGGAGAATGAAGAAGAAGATGATGATGATGTTGAAGAAGATTAAGAGCACCCACCCAAGGGTTAGATAAAACATAAAAACGCAATATAAATTCTTCGTAAGTTAATACATTTTTTAATATAGAAATCACATTGACATTTATAGGCACCAAGGACATTCAGAAACTTGGGTAAGTACTAGGATTATTCTAGGCTAATATTTGACTTGAAACAATTTGTATATACTATTTATGATCAGCAATATGACCCATGGAGTATGAATATTACTAGCGGCCTGGAATTATTGAAAATACGAACATACCTTTAACTTCTAAAATGTAAGTAAACATAGAGTAAATTTGCCAGCAGCTTATAATTTTAGAACTAACACAAAGCTAAACTCAGTTTAACCCACGTCTTGGTTAGACAAGGTCTTAAGCGAGCTGCCGCATCACCAGGGTTTACTACTAGGTAAAACTTGTCGAGGTTTATGGGATTCCTTATGGAGAATAAAGGCTTTCGGTTGTGAATACCCTTAATTTCCAATAACTGTAATGAAGAAGATTTGCTTGAATAAATGTTGCTTGAAGCTTGTTAAATGTATGGTATCTTAAGAACTGAAATCAAGAGTACTGGGTTGTGGCCACCATGGTCTTTGTTAGGAAGTTGATTATTGTAGTTGACTAATTCCGTCCTGTGAGGTCACATATAAATCTTTACTAAATCCATGATTATCAGGTTACAAAGACAAAGATCGAAAGCAAAAAAATGAAGATGAAGTCCAAGTTATAAAGACACACTTAAAGAGTTCCCACTATCCTTCAAAACGTAGGAAAGGTGTATGACCTCGAGACCTTAGTTACGTTGGTTTTTACTTTGGTTTATTTAGTTTATTAACAATTGAATTTAGGGAGTGTTTCGTACATGACTCTTGATCATTTTATTGAAAAAGCTTTTTGAAACTTAAATGTTGTCTTAGAAACACAAATTAAGTCATGAAATAGATCCTTGTTCCGCAACGCCCTTCGGTGCTCACTAGAGCAATAATTTGCTACGTTTTAGGCTTAAAAACCAGGAGGAGTCGCTAGAATCTTGCTAGCCTATGGCTAGACGGTCTTTGAACATTTAGGAAAAAAATGGAGAAAAGTTGAAGAAGTGGATAGTGGCCAACGTTTGCTGGCCGCTCAAGTGGCCTTGCATACGGCTTGAGTGGTCTCCATGCTGCTTGAGGGGTCCTTGATCATGAGGTTTGATTTGATCCCTGTGTCATTTTAGTGACATGACCCAATGAACAACGCTCACAACTTGAGTTGTCCATTGCAAGTTTGAGTTTTCTCGGGCTCCACTTAAACTTGCTTTATGAGACCTATATATATGAGAATGTCTTTTTTCACTATGTTCAGCCTTTATAATCAAAAAATAGCCTCTTCTAACATTTCGAGACCCAAGAAAAATCCCTAACATCCACAAATCATAGATCTACAAGCTCAAAGGCCAATACCGTGACTTTGAACTTTGGGATGCATATACTTTGCGCTAGCAGATGTACTCTATGATACCCAATGGAAGCATGCAGTAAATCTATACTACTTATAAATGTCCCTAATTTTTATTATAAAGTCGGTCTTACCCATATATTAGTTTTCTCTAATTTTTATTTCCTATACCTATTTCACTTCCAAGTTCTTTTGACTCCTTTTATTAACATGATTTCACTTCTAAATTCTATATTACTTTCATTCAATTTTTATTTCATATATCTATTTGACTTTTAAGTTCTTTTAAACTCTTTTATTAATCGAATTTAATTTTTAAATTTTTTTGTACTCATTTATTAGTAGTACTCTTGCATACGATTTTCTATATCTATATCTATATTTATAAGAAGAAATAAAGACTAATCTATATTCTATTATTCTACCGCCCAATAAATGTTATCAACAATGCTGTTGAGACATAATTTATTGATATAATTTGCTGACCTAATTCACTGTGACCTTTGGATTGATTGTAAGTCCCATCAAACATTGGAACTTGGTGTTGATTCAATGATTCTTATGAAGACACATCATTATGTCAATAAATTAGGTCAGATTTGTAGATCTAAATAGCATTATTCATATGTTATAGTTGATTTTTTTGGTATACAACAATATCATATTATTACAATATAAACAATAGTATTACAATTTAATCAATTTCTTTTGACAAAAAATATAATAAATTTATAATTTAATTAAATGTGCAAATACGGAATAATAACAATCTTATAATAAAGATTCATTATAAACAAAAAAAAAAAAATCTAAGGGGTCGGAGAGACACCTAAATAAATAACAAATTAGATACTCGAAGAAAGATATAATTGATTAATAATCAGGTTTGACAATAATTAAAATAAAAATTAATTAAAATTACATAATTTATTATTTAATTTAAAATTATTATTATTATTTAAATATATTCACGTGCAACGTTGTACATTGCTAGTTCTGAAGTGACTTTAGGCAACAACAATTCTTTTTCTGTTGCATATGTAAAAATTATAACCGGATACAGTTTCTAATGTATTTATGGTTGTATTTATGGTTATAAATACATAAGAAAATGAATTTTAAGTTTCTCTTGTTGTAGAATGGATTGATCCCATGTTTTTGTTTATACTTTCTTTGTGGTGTCTTATTGGGATGAAGGAAGGAGCTGAACATACATTGTATTCTCTTTTTTTTTAATAATGAGATTAAAAAATATTTACTTTTGCAGGCCATTTTTAAGCCTCCTAAGGCAATTCGTGGCGGTATTCCTATATGCTTCCCTCAAGTATGAATTTCTCAACCTTTTCCATTCTTGATTTCACTGTGATTGTGCATCTTATTGATGGGAACTTTCTTAGTACATGCAGTTTTCAAATCATGGACCTCTTGAACAGCATGGATTTGCTAGGAACAGATTCTGGAGCATTGACAGCGACCCCCCACCTTTTCCTACAAACTCCTCCAATAAGGCTTTTATTGACCTGATCCTGAAGCCCTCTGAAGAAGATATGAAGATTTGGCCTCACAGGTGAAATTTGGAAAGCTCAGTTTCTAGCATAATTTTAAGACATGCTGATGAGATTATTTGTTACCTGTCTTTAAATGATTGGTCTATTTTTATTTCCCTCGTCTTTCTTTAATTGGGTTTAGTAGCATTTCCATTCCTAAATCTGTATCTTTTTGTTTATTTCTAGTTTTGAATTTCGTTTGAGAGTAACTTTGGGACCTGGAGGAGATTTGATGTTGACATCTCGAATCAGAAACACCAACCTTGATGGAAAGCCATTTACATTTACTTTTGCCTACCACACCTATTTCTCTGTTTCAGATATCAGGTAAAATATGTACTTTGTTTATGTACTTTGATTTTGCCTTTTTGCACTTTGGTGAGGCTTTGAAGTGATAATTATGGTATCTTCCAGGGGTTAACTATGTTGTTTGATCAATGCCTTGTTGAAGTTCCCGGAACTAGAGTAAGGGTTACATCTATGTTTGAATTGTGAGAATATACTACAGTTTAGAAATTTGAGTAAGGTGGTACAAAAAGACTGTGGCTTAAAAGTTTATTAAAGCAAGACTAATAGCCTTGTAGCTGCCACGTCCCAAATTTCATAAAAGTGTGTAATTAATATAAAACCACCATAAATTCAAAAAACACATGCCAGTTTAATACTAAAACTTTGGAAAATTTTCCTTTTAGTTTAGAAACTATTTTTCTCTAAATTCTAGTAAAGTTTCAGTTGAAAATCGGACATTCCATACATGCCAGAGCAACTTGTGAGAGCATTTATATAACCAAGCTAAATTCAACTAATTATCCATTTCATACAAACGATAAACAACTAACTAAGATCTACATCATCTATCCATTATAACATAATCCAATCTAAGGCTGGTGGCAAATGGAGGCCTAAGAAGTCTTCCCAAACCTGACATACATCCATCCAATCCTCAACCATAGTACAAATTTATAAAATATATTAAATAACTCTCTCAAACTCATCGATTGTTACAACCACAAGAAAATCAATTATACAATCCTCAAATTATAGATTAACCACACATTATTTATCCTTACCTATATCAACTACATACGTCACCTCTACTTGCATAAACTAACTATATACAACAATCTTAAAATAAAAAATCTTCTACTTGAAGATCCCACTATGCAGTCCTCGTACGCATGCCAAACCCAAAAAATGTTGAAGTAATAGCGATGAACCACACGCTTAGTAGAATAGTCTTTATCCCATTTGCATGTAAGGTTTTAAATACAAACTCTCAATAAACATGATACATGTATAACATTTAATCGAATTGATATAAGACAATTTTACTAAGTTTCATAACAAACCATATAAGTAAGCAAGCATATCTCAAAACATTAAAACTCACACCATAAAACCATCATATTCGACTCACTAAACACCATTTCTTTTCGCTAATGTAGAGTGAAAGTTTTTACGCACACATAGATTTAAAACCTCACACACTCGGTCAAGAAAACACATTATATAAAATTTTATCTTTTAAACTATTATACAAACACTATATCAATGGCCAATCTGAGTCCTCTTCAAAACAACTTCAAATCCATATATCCCGTATCTTAACCCACTGCCCCTATCCCCACTTAAAATGTTTGTTGGCATCACGCGACATGACGTCTTCTTGGTACAAAACACCATGTATATTATCCAAAATATTAGGGGTGTCAAACGTGTCGAGTTGGATTATTTCGTGTTGGGTTGATTTCGAGTTTGTGTCTAAAATCTCAAAACCCAAATCTGCAATATTTAATAATTGTGTCGTGATGTGTAAACACTAACCTGACCTGACCATTAAATGGATTATCCGAACTTGACCTGTTTGACACGTTTAATAAACAAGTCGTTTTCGGATTAACACACATAACATGATCTATTTAACTTGTTTAGCACACATAATACAAACTTGTTTAACACACATAATCTATTTTCACACTACCATTAAATACATCATTCAATCATTCATTCAAAATTTTAAATAATTTTTTTACAAATAACATATCACATCTTATCAATGAAATTAACTAAAATGCATTCAAGTTTCAATTCACAAAATAAAGCAAGAACTGTAATAGTATACTGTCATAATAATGTTAAGAACTATATTGTCAATTATAATAGTAGAAACAAAAATTAAAAAGTAATAATATTAAGATCACATCAGTTATACATAATAGACAAACTATACTGCCATAAATGGGTTAAACAGGTCTACAATAAGTTAAGTCGGGTTTGTATCCGAATCATGTCAATCTGCTTAAAATATATGGGTTAATTGGGTCAAAATCGAGTTGACCTAATTTTGACATGAACTCGACATGATTTTTTTTCGTGTTTAATCGTATTGACCTGTTTTAACGCATTAGCTAGTTTAATTTCGTGTCCAGCCTATTAATTTCGTGTTAGGTTCGTATTGTGTTAACGTGTGATAGTCTTAAAAAAGACAAAANTTTCGTGTTTAATCGTATTGACCTGTTTTAACGCATTAGCTAGTTTAATTTCGTGTTCAGCCTATTAATTTCGTGTTAGGTTCGTATTGTGTTAACGTGTGATAGTCTTAAATAAGACCAAAAATCAAATCACATACCAGTCAATGAATCGATCATCCTCGGAGAACCTTTTGGGTCTTTTCTTCTAAGGTCTCATCGTCTTTCTTACTTTTTGGGGAGAATGGTAATGTCACAATTGTGAGGCCACGCAGGCGGTCATGAAAAAGTAATTGCCCAGGCAACTCTTGCAAGGCCCCAATCGTCTACTAAATCTCTGCTCGTCTATATGGAGCATACATGTTTCAAATCATAAGTTCTGGATTAAATCCCTTTTTCAAAATCATTCATATTTTATAAAAAAATCTCATCTTCAATGCCACTCCATCTCTGGCATCTCTAAGACATGTAAAGCTTTCCAAAAATCTCATTTCCCATTTTCAAAAGGGTACTTTTCCATAATAAGACACGTACATACGTCAAAAACATCATTTGTATCCATTAGTAACAAAATTCTCAAATATGAAGGCTGAGGAATCATCTTCATCAACTCTATGCTTTAAAGCTATGCAAAATTCCCAATTTCATCTTTAATATACTCAATTATATCATTATGGTTAAAAAATCTTCAAAAATTCAGAATTTATTCACTTTAGGCTCATGTAGCGGTTTATCAAACATATAGTAGGCAGCACAACCCCAATTGTGTATTTACCAAATAATATACCCAATTTCAAGAGAATCATTTGAAAACACCCAAATCATGGTTTTACTCGAGTATTCATAAATCAAATCAATTTGGGGTTTCCATGCCAACACCAAACAAACTAAACACATTTAATCCACGAGATTTCATAAATTCTAGCATACCCATCAAATATCCAAAATTTGTAACATATATTTCATAGCCCTAGCTTTTTTAAGCAAATGTAATAACATGCATCATACATGAGAAAGGGAAAAGAAAACCCTACCTTAAGATTTCCAAGCTTAATCTCTAAGCTCTCCAAGCTCTTGTGTTCCTAAGCTTCAAGGATCTGTATCCTTAGCTCCAAAATCTCTCCCTTCTTGAAACCTTTGTCCTCAAAGATCCAAAATCTTCTTTAGATCCCAAGAATTCCAAGCCAAATCTCCAAGATTCTCCGGCAAAGTCCAAGCTTTTTCCAAGCCTTGTAGCGTTCTGTTCTTTTTCTGTCTCTAGTTCTAAGGTGGGTGGAGAAGTATTGTGTGAGAGATGAGAGAAAAATGAGAGAAATAGGCTGAAAATGGGGTTTTGAACCCAACAATTTGCGTCAGAAAAAACTATTCATACCAAAAAATGCATTTTTGTCAAAAATTACGATTTTGCATGTAAATATCTCCAATTAACCCCTAGGGGTCTACCGTGTGGTTTTTTGACATTTTAGATCCATTTTAAGGGTTATCTTAACTTAAAAATATTTATTTTTATGAGTTCTCTAAAAATCCAAGACGAATAATACTAAACCTACAAAATTATAGTTTTACTCCTCTGGATTGCAATCCTGACCAAATGTCTATCCCAACGTGTTTCGGCTTTTTGGATTCAATGGTGAGGTCCTTTTGATGTAGAAACTTTTAGAAAATCATCTTATCACCCTTATCAAGCTTAAATGCATCCCAAATCAGGTGGAATCACAATCTTAATGAAATTCTTGCCAATTGCAAAAATTCAGCAAAACTAGAAGTACATTGTAGGTGTCATAAAACTTGATGGTCACATCAGGGATATTTTGGATCACCTTCGGACATGAATTGATGCCATTAGAAGGTGATATATTTATTTGCGGTACTTCCCTATTCAGGGCCACTACATTACTAAGGTAGGTCGCTTCATTGTTCTTGATTTTGATGTCCTTATCAGAGCCTTTTAAACATAAAACCTTGTTGAATTGGCATAGGTGCTATCTGTCATGATGGTCCCTGAAGATAATTGCAAATGGGTTGGAAAATTTGTGACTCAACTGGATGAACTTCTATTTTGAATCCATGGATCTGCTTTCATGAAGTGTGCTTTCTAGCTACAAGAGCAGACTATGTCGAAGATACATTTTGGAGATCATTACCCCTCTCAAGAGTTTTTTTTTCCTTCTCTCCTGCATTCTTTTCCACTTTCTTGAAGTTATTTCCTCTCTTCCATGTGTCTCTCTGTTGGAATCAATTTCCACTGTTGCAAAAATTTTACAGCTGCCTTGCGAAAGTTTGGTTGCCCTATGAAAGGAAAAAGTAGTGTTGTTTGATGGTTTTAGGTAACTATTAATTTCTTTTGTGGTTATTCTATTTCTGATAAGTGGGCCAGAGTATTTTCTTACATCTATTAGAGGGCTGAATGTCTACTTCTTGCAAGTGCAACCTGGACTCTTTGAAGCTTAGTTGGTTGGTTTAAATGTTTGTTAGACCTTGTCCCACATTAATAAACTAACATCTCTTAAACCAATATATAAGCCATGTGGGCCTCTCCACTAATAGCCAATAAGTATTGAATTGTATGCTTTAATATGATTTCAGAGTTGGTCTAGAGGAGGTTTTTGGATAAGCCTTTATTTCATAGTAGTTGATTGACTTGATCCCTTTTGTTCGTGCCTGCCATAAGTGCACTTTATTATTTTTTGATTCTCTGTTCCAGACATAGAGTGGGGGTCGCATGTGAGAGGGAGTGTTAGAGCTTGTCCCACATTGATAACTTACACCTCTTAAACTAGTATATGAGCCAAGCAAGGTTCTCCACCTATAGCCAATTGGTTTTGAATTGGATGCTTTAGCATTTTTAAGATACATTTTTTGAGTCTCAAGATCAAGAAGAATATGATCATTGCCTTATTAGGGTAAACATTTCCATGGCAGGATTACATTGGGCTGTGCCATTTTTGTGAGTGTTAGTTTCCTATTTAGTTTACAATATTGTCTGCTTAGTAATATATATCAACTGGTTAAATTAGGTTTCATAGTCATTGTCAATGTGTATCTGAATTCTGAAACAATATCAGGAAGTTCATTGCATAGTTTATCGTCTTGAGTTTTGGGTTGTCTCTCATTTAGTTACTTTTATTCAGTGAAGTTCGTGTGGAAGGATTGGAGACATTGGATTATCTTGACAATTTGCAGAATAAGGAGCGATTCACTGAACAAGGCGATGCAATAACTTTTGAATCAGAAGTGAGTTTGAAGGATCATACCCCTTTCCTCCTCCTTCTTTGCTTTGACATATAGACTTCAATGCTTACATATTGTAATCTTCATTGATTAGGTGGATAAAATATATCTCAGCACACCAACGAAGATTGCAATTTTGGATCATGAAAAGAAACGAACATTTGTGATTCGTAAAGATGGACTTCCTGATGCTGGTGAGATTGACCATCTCCATTTATTTCCTGAAGATGTCTGTTTTATCTATAAGTCGGGCTTGAATCTGTAATGTTATTTTGATGAGCGAAACATTAGTTATACTAAGAAATTCAGACCTTAGAACATTCTGAATCATGTTGGTGCAAAAGTACTAGTGTGAGATATGTGCTGAATGGAATCTTGTTTTGGTCTTTTGTTATCAATTGAGCATTGTCTTTTCAACCATGTGATGACGAGATAGAGAGTTGGGGGGGGGGG